GCCCGCCGACGCCACCAGCGACAGCGGAGCCTCGCCCGACAGCTCGCACCACACCTGACCGTTCTCCCCGGAGTCCGGGTCGCTCACTTTCAGGAGGGCCACCACCGTGCCGGCCGGGGCGTCCTCGGGCACCGGGCTCGACACCGACAGCACCGTGATTTCGGGCGCGTTGTCGTTCACGTCCAGCACCTCCACCTCCACCTTGCAGTGAGTCGCGAGACCACCCCCGTCCTTCGCCTCCACCAGCAGCGTGTAACCTCGCGTCTCCTCGAAGTCCAGCGCCTCCCGCAGCGTAATCGTCCCACTCTCCGCGTCCACCGCGAACTTCTGAAGCACCTTGGTCGGCGTCTTCCCGAAGCCGTAGGTAACGCGGGCGTTGGTGCCAGCGTCGGCGTCGGAGGCAGAGATGTTCAGCACCGGCGAGCCTGGCGGCGCGTCCTCGCGCAGGCTCGCGCGGTACCGGTCCTGCGCGAACACGGGTGGGTTGTCGTTGGCGTCGGTGACGTTGATGCAGAGCTGGGCGGTGCCGCTCCGGGGCGGTTCGCCGCCGTCCAGCGCCGTCAGCACCAGCTGCAGGCTCTGCTTGCTCTCTCGATCCAGCGCGCGGTGCAGCACCAGCTCCGCGAACTTGCTGCCGTCCTGGCTCTGCTTCACCTCCACCGCGAAGTGCGCATTGGCCTCCAGCTCGTAGCCCTGCAGCGCGTTGCTGCCCACGTCCGGGTCTTCCGCCATGCCCAAGGCAAAGCGGGCGCCGGGAGAAGTCAGCTCACTGATCTCCAGCTGGAAACGGTCTTAAGCGCGGGGCGTTGTCGTTGATGTCCTGGATGGCCACCTCGACATGGAAAACATTGAGAGGGTTCTGCACCAGTGCCTCGAAGCTGACGGAGCAGGACGCCGACTCGCCGCACATCTCCTCCCGGTCCAGCCTCTCGCTCACGTACAGATCTCCGCTCTCCTCGCTCACGCCGAAGTAGCGCTTCTCGGCGCTGAGCCGCAGCTTGCGTGCCGGCAGCTCCGCCGGG